CAGCAGCAGCAGCAGCAGCAGCAGCAGCAGCGGCAGCAGCATAGAAGCGCCGAAGCAATGAATCCAGAAGACCTGCTGCAGCAGCAGCAGCAGCAGCAGCCGCTGCTGCAGCCGCTGCAGCACCCTCGAAGAAAGACACAACAGGCGATACGACGAAGCCGAGCCAGCAGCAGCAGCAGCAGCAGCAGCAGCAGCAGCAGCAGCAGGAGCCGCTCCGGTTGGCGTTCCTGCCCCTCTCGAGACAGCAGCAGAGCTGCATCCAATGGAGCATCACGAGCAGCAGCAGCAGCAGCAATAGCAGCAGCAGCAGCAGCTGCAGCACGCGAAGTTTGCTCTCTCATAGAAGGGCCGTGCTGCTGCAGCAACTCGGAAGGGAGCAGCAGCAGCAGCTGGTGCTGCTGCAGCCGCAGCAGCACAAGCAGCAGCAGCAGCAGCAGCAGCAGCAACACAAGCAGCAGCAGCAGCAGCAGCAGCAGCAACATTCGTTCTTTTGTTGCTGAGTTGTCTCGCTCCGTGGGGGGCTTCAGAGCTAGCTGCTGGCGGTTGCCTCTCTATTTGCTGCTGCTGCGCTGCTGCTGCATCACGCGGCCCATGCTGCTGCTGCTAACGCTGCTGCGGGCTCGGCAGCTGCTGCAGCAGCAGCAAGCAGCAGCAGCAGCAGCAGCAGCAACAGCAGCTAGAGACTCAAAGCGCCGGAGAAAAAGCAGAAGAAAATCCTCGCAGCGGCAGCTGCTGCAGCAGCAGCTGCTGCTGCAGCAGCAGCAGCAGCAGAGAGAACACGACCAGGACATGGGCAGCAGCAGCTGTAGCAGCTGGAGGTGCAGCAGCAGCAGCAGCAGCAGCAGCAACAACAGCTGCAGCAGCAACTCTTGCTGCTGCAGCTTGCTGCAGCAGCGCGTATCTGAATTGCTGCTGTTCTCTCATCATATTAAATCTGTATCTAAGCGAAACATCCCTGAGGGTTTGCTGCTGCTGCTGCTGCTGCGGCCCCTGCCTAAGCAGCAGCAGCAGCAGCAGCAGCAGCAGCAGCACCAAGAGAAGCAACCGCAACAGCAGCAACCGCAACAGCAGCAACAGCAGCACCAAGAGCAGCAACGGCAACAGCAGGAACACCAGCAGCAGCAGCAGCAGGAGCAGCAGCAGCAGCAGCAGCAGCAGCAGCAGCAGCAGCAGGATACATGGGCAGCAGAAGACCTTCTGAATGATGACGCGGAGACGTTTGTCTGTAAGTTGCTGCTGCTGCTGCTCGGCAGACTCCCTCACGATGAATCCCCGCTGCAGCTTGCTGCTGCTGCTCAGCAGCAACTGCAGCAGCAAGAGCAGCAGCAGCAGCAACAGCAGCAGCAGCAGCAGAAGCAGAAGCAGCAGCAGTTTGACGAGGATCAGCAGCACAACGGCGCAACCAAGCCAGGACAGCAGCAGCAGTACAACCACCGCCAGCAGCAGCAGCAGCAATCGCAGCAGCAGCAGCAAGAACAACAACAGCAGCAGCAGCAGCAGCAGCAGCAGCAGCAGGGAGAAGAAGCAGAAGATATTATAACCGGAATCCCTTGGTGGGTTGAGGCCCAGTTGCTGCGGGGCAGCAGCGAGGAGCAGCAAATAGACAAAGACGTGCACCGCTCCTTCACTGCTTGGAAGCAAAGCAGCAGCAGCAGCAGCAGCAGCAGCAGCAGCAGCAGCAGCAGCAGCAGCAGCGGCAGCAGCAGCAGCGNGCAGCAGCAGCAGCAGCAGCAGCAGCAGCAGCAGCAGCAGCAGCAGCAGCAGCGGCAGCAGCAGCAGCGGGGAATGTGAGAGCGATAGCAGCTGCAGCAGCGGCAGCTTCCTTACTCCATCTGAAGGCCCTCCGAGCGCCCCCAGCAGCAGCAGCAGGAGCAGCAGCAGGAGCAGCAGCAGGAGCAGCAGCAGGAGCCGCAGCCCAACCAGCAGCAGCAGCAGCAGCAGCAGCAGCAGCAGCAGCAGGAGTGAAAACCTCGCTTGTCTTCGTAGAGCTCTGCGGCTGCTGCTGCTGGGCCTTGTGGCGCGGCAGTCTCCTACTCTGGTGTATGCACAGGGCATGCATGATCTTGCTGCTGCGTTGCTGCTGCTTGCTGCTGATGCGCTGCAGCAGCTGCTTGCTGCTGCTGAGGTGTATAGACACCTCATCATACAAGGCAATCGCTGCAGCAGCAACACTAACACCTGCTGCAGTGCATGCAGCAGCAGCAACAGCAGCAGCAGCAGTACCACCACCACCACCAGCAACAGCAACAGCAACAGCAGCAGCAGCAGCAGCACGAAAGAGGATAGGAGCTGCGTGTGTCTGCCTTGCTGCTGTTTGTTGCTGCGGTGTATGTACAGCTGGAGCGCATGCAAGAAGAGTATGAGTGGTGTATTGTCTGCATCTTCCGGTGTATGTTTATTTATTTTATATTTTTGTTTTATAATTAACGAAAGAATATATATTTATTTTTTATGTGATAGTTTGGCCTCTCCCTTTGAGGCCTCGTTGCTGCCTTCTCTGCGTTTATTACATTTGCTGCTGCAGCAGCAAGACCCTCAGCTGCTGCTGCTGCTGCAGCTGTGCTGCTCAGCAGCTGTATATACACCTGGGGGGGAGCTGCTGCCTTGTGTCTCATGGCTTATAACATGGTTTACACACAGCAGCAGCAACTCTGCTGCTGCTGCTGCTCGGCTCCTAGACTTTCTGCTGTCTGTACACCCCGCCGGGGTTTTGTATCTTGCTGCTGCTGCTGTTCGTTCGCAGCGGCAGCAGCTATTTGCTGCATGCACTGCAGCACTCAACACGCATGCAACCCACGCACACCGCCGGCTGCTGCTGTCCCTCCAGCAGCAGCAGCAGCAGCAGCAGCAGCAGCAGCAGCAGCAGCCGCAGCAGCAGCAGCAGCAGCAGCAGCAGCAGCAGCAGCAGCAAGAAGGAAAACTGGATCTGAAGGATATCTGCTGCGCAGCAGCAAGACAGCCGGAGCTGCAGCAGCAGCTGCGTGTTTATATAAACGATGCGGTGTATGGGGAGGTTCACACTGTGCTGCAGCGCGTACACCTGAAAAAGCTGCCGCTTGAGCTGCTGCTGCTGCATGCATACATGGGGCTGCAGCAGGAGCTGCCGCCGCAGCAGCTGCTTGCTGCTGCTGCAGCAGATGGCGTGCAGCTGCTCCCTTTCTCTCCTCTTCTGCTGCAGGATGAGTTGTTGCCAGCAGCAGCGCCAACAGCAGCAGCAGCAGCAACAGCAGCAGCAGCAGCAGCAGCAGCAGGAGCAGCAGCAGCAAGCACACATCTGTCTCCTTGCTGCAGCTGCGTGGGGTTCTCTTACCTGTCTCCTTTCTTCTCTGTCGTGGGGCCCCGCATGCCTCCTCTTGCTGCAGCTTATACAGCTCTCTGGCGCAGCATCCCTGGTTGTTCTGCTGCTCCTGCTGCTGCTCCTGCTGCTGCTCCTGCTGCTGCTCCTGCTGCTGCTCCTGCTGCTGCTCCTGCTGCTGCTGCTGCTGCTGCTCCTGCTCCTGCTGCTGCTGCTGCTGCTGCTGATGCGAAGGCTCCAAGGCGAGCGTTCGTTACAGCAGCAGGAGCAGCAGCAGCGTGGATGGGGGCCCTGAACGGCACAGATGCTGCTGCTGCTGCTGCTGCTGCTGAGGAGCAGCAGCAGCAGCAGCAGCAGCCCCATAGCTCGTTGCTGTTCGCTGTAAAAGCTATTGCAGCAGCAAGCAGCCCGACGTACCCTTGCAGCTGCTGCTGCTGCTGCTGCATGCATGCGAGCAGCAGTGCAGTTGCTGCAGCAAGGAATAGACCCCGCAGCAGCTGCTGCCCTGAGGTGTATAGGCACCTTCCTGTCCCCCCTGCTGGCAGTGTGGGGTGGAGACAGCCGCTCCCGTCTGTCTTTGTTCCTCTATCCAGCAGCAGCAGCAGCAGCAGCAGCAGCAGCAGCAGCAGCAGCAGTAGCAGCATTAGCATCAGCAGCAGCCTGCAGCGCATTGCTGGTTTTATGATCCCGTTCCGGTTGTTCCATGAGCTGCAGCAGCATCTGCAGCAGCAACTACAGCAGCAGCAGCAGCAGCAGCAGCAGCAGCAGCTGCAGCAGCAGCTGCAGCGTGCTGCAGCAGTGCTGAGGTGTACGTACACCTCAGCTCTTGCATTCGTTCGCCCCAGCGGCTTCTATCTCCCTCTATGCACAGCAGCAGTTGTTTGTCTCGCTCTGCTGCTGCAGTGGATAGGAGACAGGCACCCAGGCTCTCTCTTCTCTTGAAATATATACACACTAATTTCTCTCTTTATACGAGGGTTTAGGGTTTAGGGTTTAGGGTTTGGGGTTTAGGGTTTGGGGTTTAGGGTTTAGGGGTTGGGGATTAGGGAATGGGGTAGTATAGGGGTTGCGGGGTAGGGTTTAGGGTTGAGGGTCTGGGGGTTAGGGTTTAGGGTTTAGGGTTTAGGGTTTGGGGTTTAGAGTTTATTTAGAGGCTGTGAAGGATGTCTGCTTGTTGCTGCTGCTGCTGCTGCTGCTGTTGCTGCTGCTGTTGCTGCTGCTGCTGCTTGAGCGCCACAGAGAAGTAGCAACGCATTCAGAGACAGCGAAGACAAAACCCTAAACCCTAAACCCTAAACCCTCGAGAGAGTGCTGGGGGTTTATCTGCCCTGGGTGTATTGGGGTTTAGGGTTTAGGGTTTAGGGTTTTGCATGGGTTTAGGTGTACGTACACCTCAACCACAATCTGTGTTTTTTCTCGGGTGTATATACACCCAAACAAATATATGGTGGTTGCATTTATTATATTTAGGGTTTAGGGTTTAGGGTTTAGGCTTTAGCGGCTTTAGGGTTTTGTTGGCGCCAACAGAAGACCGTAAACCCTACAACACAGAAACCCTAAACCCCAAACCCTAAACCCTAAACCCCAAACCCTAAACCCTAAACCCTAAACCCTAATGTTTGCGAAGCAAGCGAGGCAGCAACAAATGCCTCTCTTCCTTTTTAGGCTTTTTTGCCTATATCTTTCTTTATAGTCATCTACATAGAGATATTATATATATATATATATATGTATATTAATAATAATAATAAAATATTTATATTAATATTAATATTTATTAGCAGTACTATTAGAGAAGAAAAAAGAAACCCAGAGGATTTATTTTTTCTGGTGAAGTGTTGAAATATTTAGTTATATTAATTAGGGTTTAGGGTTTAGGGTTTAGGGTTTAGGGTTTAGGGTTTAGGGTGCCTCGGGGTGTATAGGGGCGTGGTGGCTTTAGAGGGTAAGAAAAGGAGCACTTGTGTGTTGTTGTTTTGTTGCAAATATAAAAATTAAATTAATTTTAATTAATTTTTAATTTATTTTATTAAAATTAATTAAAAAAAACAAAAAAAAACACAAAAAGAAGAACTGACAAAGGGAGCAGCAAACGGCTCCAGTATCGCCACTGCAGCAGGAGAAGGGTTTAGGGTTTAGGGTTTAGGGTTTAGGGTTTAGGTGCTAGTTGTATAAATATATTATTTTAAATGATAAAATATATATTTTTAATATTTATTTATTTGTTTTTTGCAGCTTGCATGCAACAAATACAAAAAAAGAAGAAAAGGGGGCCCCATAACGAACGGGTGCTGCTGCTGCATAGACACTGCAGCAGCAGGGGTATTTCAGGTGTACATACACCTCGTGTCTCGGTTTATAAAAATATAAAATAAACTTTATTATTCTTTTTTTACTTTTTTATTTCTTCTTCTTTGTTTTAATCTGCAGAAGACGAAACAAAAAACTGTTGCACAGCCACTTG